GCCAGGGATCGATGCGGCCGGCCCCCAACACCGGAGTTCGCATCCACCCCTCCTGGGGTCCAGGTCTCCGGGCAGGCTCCACTCCGATCAGCGCCCAGGGCCCCCAGCCTGGGCCCTGCACACTCCTTCCCCCCCCACTCCCCCCGCCCCGCAGGTTGAAGTCCCAGCTCCCGCCCTCCCCCTCAGCGTGTGGCCTCAGCAACCTCTCTGTGCCAGTGGGCTCTTGGGGAAAGGCTACTGTCCTCAGGTCTACCCTGCCTACACTGGTAAACAGACCAGAGCCCTGTGCCCTGCCCAGTGTGTCATCCTCACCCTCAGAAATGTCAGCTTATCGTCATCCCCGTGCCAGCTGTCCCTGAGGACCTAGGACCTCTGCGACCCTCTGACTACTGCCTGTGAAGTGGGGAAGGGGCACTCCCTGCAGGACAGTTCCGAGGAGGACTCCGTGTTCCCTGCCTGGTGCGTAGTGGGTGCTCGAAAACTGAGACTCTTACCTCCCCTCCACCCAACTCGTGCCTGGACCCCCAAGGAGAGACCCTAACCCCCTCCCAACCCCCAGCCAGACTCGGCAGCCTAGACGCCACCCCTCTGGTGCCTCCAGGGGTCCCACCTGGCCACTAGAAGGCCAGCCTCGCACCTGACCCTCCCCAGCCTGCCCACTCCCCACACTCCAAGAAAGAAACCCTCTTGGGACCAGAAACGCCCAGGCAGGGGACAGCCTGGTGCTCCATGAGACCCCGGGGATGGCACCGCCTGCTCTGGGGACTCTCTTGTCTGGGCGGGGGTGGAGGCAGGGTGGGTAAGGCAGTGTCCCTCCAGCCCAGTCCTGCCTGCAGGGCACTGGGAGGTCTGGAGCAGGGTGGCCTGGGGCTGGATGGGGGAGTGCTGGTGGGAGGAAGTGTGTGGCTGTTCTCCAAGGAGTCCTCTTTTTTTTATTTTTTAAAATCATGGTAAAAACACATAACATAAAAGTTACCACCTCAACCGTTTTCAAGGGCACAGCTCAGGGGCATTAAGCACATTCACCTGTTTTGTGCAACCAGCCCCACCGTCACCTCCAGAACCTTCTCACCTTCCCGAACTCCAACTCTGTCCCCACGAAACACTCACTCCCCGCCCCTCCCCAGCCCCCGGCCCCCACCCTCCTGCTTCCTGTCTCAGTGACTCTGACTCCTCCAGGGACCTCACAGAGGTGGGACGGGAAGGACTGGTCCTTCTGCGACTGGCTGACTGTGCTCAGTGGGTGGTTCCCGAGGGCCACTCATGTGGCAGATGTCAGAACCTCCTCCCTTTTCAAGGCTGAATGATATTCCATCATATGGTTATAACACGCTTTGCTCATCCACTCATCTGTTGATGGACCCTTGGGCTGTTTCCCCCTCTGGGTGATTGCCAGCCATGCTGCTGTGAACGTGAGTGGACAAGGGTGTCTTCTGACCCTGCTTTCAGTTCCGTTGGGTTCTTAGCACAGGTGGAGTTGCTGGATCACACAGTAACTCTGATGCTGAGGAACCACCACACGCTTCCACAGCATCATTCCCAACCAGAAGTCTTCATTTGACACTGGGAGCAAATGTCCCTGGACACTCCCATCCTGACCAAGTTGCCCTTTGCTTTGCAGCCAGTCTGGGAAGGGTGGAGTCAGGGGTGTGGGTTATGATCCCAGGTTCCTGAATTCTAGCATCACTGTACCCATGAGTGGTTTTGCTCCCATGTCCACAGGAAGGCACCTCGCCTCAAAGGGTGTTTCTGGCGGGGGGCATCACCACCTCCAGACACCCCACCGGAACCTTCTGCCTCTCAGACTTACCAAGCTCTTCAGGACGGGGGTAGGACAGATGCTCCCTCCTCCTTAAAGCCTTAGCTGGAGGAAAGACGCCCTCCCCAGCTTCTGGGGACAGACAAGGCGGAGGATCTGACCCCCCTCTACATTCTAGGATCCTTCTGCGCAAAGCTTGCCAGCCAGGAGCAGCCTGCAGCTCTCCCCCTCCCCTCCCTCCTCCGCAGCCCCCCCAGGCTGCTGGGCCACTCACCTCGGACGTGTGAGCCGGGAGCCCAGCGACTTTCCCACACTTTGGCCCCATTCACAGTGTTAAACGGCCCACAAAGGCCAGGCGTGTGCCTTGGAGGCCGCGCTGCCATCTGGCCCGCACTCGGGGAGGGAACGCGCCTTTCATCCGGCCAGGCTGGGACTTAACAGCATTCATTTCATATTTCCCACAACTCAAAATTGGATCAAAGCTGCTCCCCGCCAAAGGGGACGGCGAAGAGGTGGGGAGGAGCAGCCCCCTGGCCCCCTCTCCCCAACCCTCACCTCCACGCCAGCCCGCTGCGGGTGGGCACGCGGGCAGCTGGGGGTGGGGTGGGGGCTGGACCACGTCTCCTGGCACGTGTCTTACTTGGGCTGAGAGCTGGCTTGGGGGAAGCGGCCAGGGCAGGACACACGCCCCAGCCAACTGCCCCCTCCGCAGCTGGGGGCAGGGGGACAGGCCTGGTCTGCCTGCTTCCCTTGGTTCTGGGCAGACACCTGCCCCCCCACCGCCACTGCCAGCAGCCGGACGGGCAGGCACACGCGTGCTCAGGTTCGTTTCCTGCCAGTGGGGCCTGCCCCTTGTCCTGCCTTCCCTCCGCCTCGGCCAGAGCACCTCCTGAGTGCAGGTGTGGGGCTGGCAGGGTGTGGGCGACAGGGAAACTGGCACCTAAGTCATCCTGCCCTCCCCTCCAGAGCCCACCCACACGCAGGTGAGGGACCCGCCAAAATGTGCCAGCTGCCCAGCACCAGCCCCACTCTGGCTGCAAAAATGGCTCCACTGAGCATCACTGGGTCCCCCTTGCTACCTGTGGGACCTGCCAGCCACTGTCAACACCTGGGGCTGTAGAGCAGAAGGCGGGGCAGGCCCCTCCCCAGTTTGCCCAGGTGCCCTCTGCTCTTTTGCTCCAAATGAGGGCTAGATATCTGTCGTGGGGTCGCATCTGCTCAGAGAGAACCCCAGGCTCAGGGGGAGCCTACTCAAGACCTCAGTGTCACTTGCCTCCCACAGCCAGCCTGGGGCCTGTGTTCCCTTCAAGAGAGATGCTTGGGGGGGGGGGGAGCAGGTACCAAAGGGTGAACAGGGGCTGCCTTCCATCCCCTTCCAGAGTCACCTGAAAGTTCCACCTCAGGAGCCCCCCAGGCCTCGCCCACCCCAGCAGGTGGCCGGCTGGCTCGGGGGCTGCCTTGCACTGGCTCCAAGCCACGCCTGCCCTGGCACCTTCCTCCTGCTTCCCTACGGACCCCTCTCTGGGTGACCCAAGGTTCCCTGTGCTTCAGACTTCTTGAGCAGGCCCACCAAACAGGCCGCTCATCACCATGAGTCACTGCCAAGCCTCTTGTTAAGGCCCTTCAATTCCCAGCCATGCTCAGATGTGGCTGTCGGCCAGGGAACTGCACTCCTGGATTTTACCTCTGATTAAAGAACCCTGATGCCAGCTGCTGGGTCCCCTGGCTGAAGCCCTGCCTGCCCCTTGAACCTGGCTGTGTTCCGCCCTGCTCCTAGAAGTTGTCCCATCTCCATCCCCCTACCTCTATCCTGGCAGAACTAGATTCCTGGCTGCAGAGAATCAGAGGAAAGTGTTCCGGGTGGCGGTGGGGGGCTCCCAGCAGGCCCTCCCCTAGGGACCCAGGGTGGCGCTCATGGCCCCCAAGCATCCACTGGCCTCAGCTGGGCTGTCTAGGTACCAGGACCATCAGTTCTTCCAGTGGGTCCCTAGGGGGTTGTCTGAGCTGGTACAGTATTTGTATGGGCTCCTGGCAGGAGCCTCACGTCTGCCCCCATGGTACTCCCTTCTCCACCACCAGCAAACTGCCTAAGGACAGGAAACCCTGTAAGTGCCCACAGGGCTGTGCGGAGGGCAGCATGCAGCCGAGGCTTCCCCCCAGTCATGCAGGAGCAGTGACCACACACCTGTATCCAGCATGTCCGAAGCCACACGCTCTTGCATGCTCCACAGACGGCCATGGTTGGACTCCCACCCAGATTGGGGTGGGGTGGGGCCCTGGAAGGTTCAGAGCTCCCCAGATGCTACAGTCTGATAAACTGCTGCTGGAGGATGGGGTGCAGTGGCTCCTGGGGGGACTGCCTAGGTGCCAGGCTCCATGCTGGGCATTTCAGGCACCCTGGCTCCCTAAAACTGCCCAAAGCCCAGCCAGGGAGGCACAGCAGGCAGTCCATTTTCTAGCTCTGAAGCCACGTGTCCCAGGTGACAGCTTGGGGACTTAATACATATGCCAGCAGGTCTGAGCCTAAGAGCCTGGGCCCCTCTTCCACTTGTGCAGAGGGAGCTGGCTATGCCTGCTCGGGTGAAGTGTGGCCTCCCCCTGTCCCCTCCCTCTCCGCCCCAGAGAGGAGGGGAGCCGCAGGTCCAACAGGGAGGGTGCGTGGCCCCTGGAAGCTGCTGCTCTTGTGCATTCTAAAGCTTTTCCCTTATCTGCTCGCTCGTGGCCTCTGCCAGCCAGCAGCGGGGAGTCGCTGGGGAGGGGGGAGAAGGGAGAGAAAAGGGGAGGGGAGGGGCGCCGCTCCTTCCTGCCCCCACCCGCGTCCCCGCGGCCTGGGAAAAGGCAGCATATTGAGGCGCGGGGCTCCCAGCATCAGGCCCCGGGATGCTAATGAGGGCGAGCGCGTTCCCACAGCCCGGACATTGTGCCGCGCGGCCCACCTGCTCCTCGGGGAGCGCCCATTGTGCCCGCGCCAATTCACAGGCAATTTAGCGTGCGCTAATGGGCCGGCGCCTTTGTGCGGCCCGCGCCGTCATTGGCCGCCGAGTGTGGGAACGGCCGCGGCGCCCGGACCCCAGGCGCCAGCCCGCCGCCCGCGCCTATATAGGGGCCGGGGTCGGCGCCAGCCCGGGACGCGCCCGCTCCGCTCCCTCCTTCCGCGCTGACTCGCCTCGCCCGCGCCAGGTATGGCCCCCAGCACCGTGGCCGTGGAGCTGCTGAGCCCCAAAGAGAAAAACCGAGTAAGTGCGCGCGCAGCCTGCCCCCGCGACCCCCGCGACCCCGCGCCGCCGCGGCCGCGCTGACGCCCCTCCTCCCACAGCTGCGGAAGCCGGTGGTGGAGAAGATGCGCCGCGACCGCATCAACAGCAGCATCGAGCAGCTGAAGTTGCTGCTGGAGCAGGAGTTCGCGCGCCACCAGCCCAACTCCAAGCTGGAGAAGGCCGACATCCTGGAGATGGCTGTCAGCTACCTGAAACACAGCAAAGGTGAGCCCGGCTCGGGCGGCCCCGGCCCCGGCCCCGGCCCCGCCGCGCGCCCCGCGCCCCGGCCCCACTCACCGCCTCCCCTCCGCTCCCCGCAGCCTTCGCCGCCGCCGCCGGCCCGAAGAGCCTGCACCAGGACTACAGCGAGGGCTACTCGTGGTGCCTGCAGGAGGCCGTGCAGTTCCTGACGCTGCACGCGGCCAGCGACACGCAGATGAAACTCCTCTACCACTTCCAGCGACCCGCGGCCGCGCCGGCCGCGCCGGCCAAGGAGCCCAAGGCGCCGGGCCCCGCGCCCGCGCCCACCCCCGCCAAGGCGGCCGCCGCTGCTGTGCGCCAGCCCGCCTGCGGCCTCTGGCGGCCTTGGTGACCCGCGGGAGCTGCGGACAGGCTGCCTGCCGGAAGGCCCAGAGGGCCAGCGCGATCCCCTGGCCTGGGGAAGGGCCTTCCCGTAGTCTGTCCCGCCCGCCCCCTCCCCGGCTTGGACGGGCCCCTTCTCCGGAAGGCTCTCTCCCCAAGCTGGCGGGCCAGCAGGAGGAACATTCTCAGAGAATGTGCGCGCAGCGTCCTTGTTTAGAACAATCAAGGCCCATCTTCTGCCAAATGTCTGACCCCATGGGGTTGCTCTGTGTTTGCATTTCAGCAAGTGACTTCTAGGAAGTCCCCACTGCCGGGTTCTATGATATTTGTAGGCGGCGGGGCTCAGCCAGCCGGCACCCCACGCGTAGAGGGCTTTCTTCAGGTCCGGTGCTGCCCGGCCAGTGGGCCTGGCGCAGGCCGTGCCGTGGGCACATTTGCCTTTTGTGAAGGCGAAACTCAAGGTGTATCCTCATAGGAAAGAAAGTGTCAGCCTGGATGGGTGAGGACGGGCCAGGCAGAGCTGAGGCAGAGAGCCCTTGCACGTGCCTGGTTGTCTGGTGGGGTCTCAGTGGGCTGTGTGGGAAGGGTGGGGGTCTCCACCTCCCACAAAAAGAATTTCTGTGTGGGTGGGTGCACATGGGCACGAGTTGGTACTCAGAATGTGAACTCTCCTTCACGTGGGAGCCACGGGACTGCTCTGCAGGCTTCTAATAAAATCTGACTATTCAGCCCCTCCATAGTCCGTCTCTTGTGCCTCACTCATGTCCTTGGCATCAGGCAGGCGGGGCTGCAGGGATGAAGGGGAGTGGGCACTATCGTGGTATCAAGGACACAGGTGTCCTTACCAGGGACCCTCTAGACACAGGAAGAATAGCCAGGCACCGGCTCAGGGACAGAGGGAGGGAAGAAAGAGAGAAGCTAGAAATGAGAAGTGAGGGGACAAGTCAGGAGGCGGGGGGGGGGGGGGAGGGGAAGGACGAAGGGAGGAGATTGGAGTGAGAGGCAGAGAAGCAGGGGAGAAGCAGGCTGGAAGCAGAGAGGGCCTTGTGGACACATTAGCTTCCCTGGTGCAGTAGGAGGGGATGAGAGACCTGGGTTGCCGCCCTAAACCTCTGGCTAGCTCCTGCAGTGGGGAGGGGGGTAAATGATGCTACAGGACCTTCCAGCACTGTCCAACTGAGAGAGACCTGAAAGCCATAGCCTGCAGTGGAACTCTTGCTGCAGCAAAATAGTTTTAACTGGGTCAAACACAGATGTTTGCCCCACCAGGGCCCTCCCCGCACAGCCAGAGCCTCTGTCCCTGGACAAGCTCCTGGGGCACCTTGGCTGGCCCACAAGTGGCTGCCCTGCCCTGCAGGTTGACCACTCACCACGGCTGAACAGGCAGTGCTGGTGATGAACCTGTCAAGGCCAGGCCCATGCCTCAGAAAGGGTATCTATTTTTAGACAGGCCACTGGGTGTTGGCTGAGTCTGCAGGAAACTGGATGCACGCCGGCTGGCCCTCCCCCTTCCTGCTCGGCACCTCACTTCCCTCGGCCTCCCATCCCTCTGTCCACAGCACCCCTTCCAGGCCAGCATGGTGCTGCTAGGGGCCTTTGGGGTCCCTGCTGAGCCCTGAGAATGGTGAGCGAGGGACAGGGAAGCCCCTCCCCCATCCCACACATTTACTGCTTGTGTGGCAGGCAGGTCCTGCCCTCACGGGTGTCCCTCTGGCCAGGCTGACCTGCAAGGCTGCCTCCCCCATCCCGAGCCTTGCCTGGTGTGCTGAAGCACCTTCTCCTCCCCTGAATCACCCCTAGAGCTCTGAATTTGTGCTGCTCACAGTCCTGCGCCCCCAGGGGCCCTGCCAGGCAGCTAGTGGCATGCTCAGATGGAGGCTGAGGTCCAGAGACTCAAAGTAACTGGCCCAGGGTGACCTAGGAGGCAGGTGTCAAGGCCACCCTAGGGGCCCTCTGTCAGCCTCCAGCACTGAGCTCCTTCTCAGAGTGCCAAGTGCCTCTGATGGGTACACATCCCTTAAGAGCCTCCACACCTTCCAGGGTTTTCTAGCGACTTGTCCTGGAAATCACTCCCCAACACCACACAGGAGCTTTCTCAGCTCATTCCCTGCAAATTCCCATAGACTCCTTGTTTTGCCAGAAAGCGGCCTCCTCCAGGCAGGCCCCCCTGCTTTCCACTGCACTTTCTGAGGATCTCACCATCAAAGTACACATCCTCCCCAGCTGCAGGGGCATCTCCTACCTCTGGCGGGGGTTGGACTCCTAGAGGGCGGAGTCCCCGACTGCCCCTGTTTGCATGGGACTTTTAGCACCGACAGTCCTGCGCTCCTGGAGAACCAGGCTGGACCGTCCCGTGCAGGTGCCAGGCTTACAGCCGCATTCACTGGAGGAGCAGTTCTCTGGTGGTCTGCAAAGCCCCAGGTGTCCGCTCTGCACTAGCTCAGATCATCTAAGGTCAGCATCATTGGGCCAGCTCAGTGAAAGAACAGAGACGACGACAGCCCAGATATTTTGTGTTGAGCTGTAGGGCCTCTGAGACCCGTGCCCGGGCCCTACCGAGTCGGCCCTCCCGCCACTGAGGGGCGGGGCCGCCCGAGAGCTTATTAGCATAATATATGCACGGGAGGCGTTTAGCAGTCAAATATATGCGCATATATCTCCATGGTTGATGAGGCTAGCCGGGCACATTCAAAATGGCGGAGTGTGGAGCGAGCGGCAGCGGGAGCAGCGGAGACAGCCTGGACAAGAGCATCACGCTGCCCCCCGACGAGATCTTCCGCAACCTGGAGAACGCCAAGCGCTTCGCCATAGACATAGGTCGCCGCGGGCGGGCGCGGAGAGCGGGACGGCGGGAGAGGGAGAGGGC